GTCTCTTTATGTGATAATTACCCACTTGACCAGGCAAACCCCAGATCACTTTACCACAAACCCCCCAATTCCTTTGACGGTCTTGTTGGGAAATTTCTTCCTACATGGAGATTTTTAGAGACAGAGTGAGTGGAATTTGTGTGTTTCTGGCTATGGATTGTTTGGAAGCTGTGTGGAAAATGAATAGAACAGTTCATCAAGTGCTATAAAAGAGAGAGATAGAGAGACAGAGAGAGAGATCCTTTAATGGTGGCAGCAGCGGCCAATGGCAACTTAGCCTACTGCCCTGCTCGTAAAGAAGATTTTAAAAGATCTCTGCCAATATCATTACTGAATTAGCTGCGATACTTGTACTACTGTACTCCCTTTCCAATAGATTATCTTTCTCCAAAATCTACTCTTTTTTTTTCTTTTCAATTATTGGTTTATTTAACTTTATGCTGTCTAATATGTACTACTCTCTCTCCCTCTCAACAAAGCTTGTGGCTTTAGGGCAGTTTAGAATTCATTCAGTTTCCTTATGCCTTTCTCTCTGACATTAGATCTTGAAAATAAATTCTAACTTCAAAAGGGATTAATAATTGATGGGAACATATTGAAAATTCTGACATGGGTTTCTTCACAAGTGGAGAATAAATTGGTTCACGTTGAAATTGGAATAACCTTTTCTTTTTCTATTTTTTTCTTTGTTTTTCTTTTTTTTTTTACCAAATGTAGAATAATCTTCCTTAGACATTACCTGTGATTTTAACTCGGTAAATTATACTTTTAGTGAATTTTGGATTGTTAATCTAGTTAGTTATTGTTGATAAAATGATAATTTGATATGTTTATTGAATAAATGTTAATTGATCTGATATTAGGTGAAGGCAGATAGAAGAAAGAAGACAGAATAAAAGTAATGTGTCAAATCTCTTTTATTATTTGTGCCACTCTATTTTATTCTAGAGAAAGTAAGGTGGAACAAGAATTTGACTGAAGTTCGAATCAATAGTACTATTGGTTATTTTCTAGCCAACAATAAAAGTTCTCTATAATAAACTTGTATATAACTCTAGCTTTATTTGCATATATGTTTTTTTTTTTAATTTTATTATCATGAAGACTATGGTAGAAGAAGTTTTTAATGTGGTTACCAAATTACAATAATATATTGAAGCATATTGAATAATGAGTGGCAGAGGAACATAAAATTCTGTCCTTTTTTTTTCTTTTTTTCTTTTTTTTTCCCTTGTGGGTGTGTTGTAGAAAATGAATTGGCAATTATTGTTATTATAATTTAGAAAGAGAATATTGAAGATTGGTTTGGCAATAGTTGAAATTTGAAATTAACTGAGTCAGTTATTATTTTATTTTACAGTTATAAAGGTTGGAAGCATTGGTTACAATTGGCTGRGCTCAGGACTTTGTCTCTATCCTTTGGTAGATTGTATCTAACTATGTACCACCATGGCCTTCACCACTTCATACCGACTTTCTTACACCTCTCTCTCTCTAAAACAGCCTTTTGTTTGTCTCTCTCTAGAACACCCTTTATTATGGTTCTCTCTCTTGTTCAAATAAAAAAGAAATGAATAATATTTAGCTGCTTAATCGTCGGTGGGTAGGTTTCTCCTGCTGACAATTCAAAAGAAACCAACATGAGTTTAGTTCAATTGGTTAACACATGTATCTTGATCTTGGTCGTGTGTTCGAATTCYCAACCTTTTTAAAATTTAATGGAGGRAAAAAAAACTACCATTAAAAAATTGACTGCTAAGAGGGATGAATGCATAAATTACCTTATTCTTTTTTTCGAGTATAACATGTGGGGGTGGAGAATCGAACTCAACTTCTTGGTTGGAGATATATGTCAATTACCGTTGAGTTATGTTTGCTTTGGCCATAAACGACCTTAATCTGTTTCATAGGTTGTACAAATGTGTCTTTTAGTTCTGAAGAGAGATGAATGCATAAAGAAAAATACATAATGTAGATTTTTTTTCAAAAGAATAATTTATCTTTCAATTTTTTAATGATGGTAAGTAGGAAGATATATACTTAGGAATGGATAATCATCTAAAAAAGAATCTTAGGATGGACATCTGTCTCTKATGTATTTTTTGGTACCAAATGTTGTAGGGTCAGACGATTGTCTCGTGAGATAAATCAAGTCTATGCAAACTAGTCAGGACACTTACAGATATTATAAAAAAACACCTAAATATTATTTAAAATAAAAAGTTTGTATCTATCAAATTTCCTCCCACACAAGTGATATTTTTATCTCCTTGTTTGTTTGGAAGGCTCATATATAATTTCTTTTTTTAAAATCCATTCTAATTTTTTTCTTTAAATGGGGAGGAAAATAATGTTATAATTTCTATTTCTCTATAAAATGGTAGAGCAAATGTTTGAGAGTCGAAAAGTAAATTCATYGAGGAAATTTGAATTTAATCAAATTTTCGCTCAACGCAAACTAATCTATTCAAGTTATTTTAATTTCGAGGAGAACCATTTTAGAAGATTGAAATGAAGATTCAAACTCACGACTTTTTTATCGGAGATAGGTGTTTTAATCAGTTGAGCTATATTCGGACTTTCGGTCTTAATTTTGCCTATTGCTATTGAGAATTGGAGTCTTGTTTTTGCTACCAATTTTTTTCCTCCTWAAAAACAAAAATTTCATAATGAGAATACATTATCAACTCACCGATGMCCAGAGAATTTGACTTTTGACTTTTGTAACAAAAATTTGTTTTTTCTTTTTGATAAAGGAATCATTTCATAAGAAGAAAATACATTAGTTGACCTTAAGCTCACCTATTACTATTTAGATTTGTAGCTCAACTATTACTATCAAAATTTAATGTTTCTTTTTTTGTTTTCTATTTCAAAGAATTAATCTTAGGGAGACATAAAATAGGTGCTGGCTTGAGGTGAATTTATTTAAATTATTCTAATTTTAATTTAATCCTTGGTACTATGAATAAAAACAAGATATTTAAACCATGTAACCCAAAATAGGGTATTATTTTTAAAAAAATAGTGTTGAAGTTACCCAATTTGGTAGGACAATAAAATTTCCATTTCTCTTGTTGTACACATCATTTCCAGTTCCCAAATCTTACTGCCTTGAAATGGACACTCCAAATCAACAGCCAATAAATGATTGCTTTTATATAATAACCAATTTACTTTCCCTATAATTGGATAATTAACATTTATAGACACTCACTCATGTTACTCTATTTTATAATTTTTCCCCCCATTTTACTAGTTTATCTAAAATTTGCATTAAAAAATGTTGAAAAGCTTAAATATATGATTTGATTTTTAATCTTTTAAAAGTATCACATTTATCTTTTAAAGAAAAATGATGATGTGGAAATCTGTTTGGTTGTTAGTATAGTAAAAACACATTTTCTTGGATAATTTGTTGGCGGGTTGAAATAAGTTATTAGAGGTTATGAAACTAACTATAAACATTAAGATCCTGTTTACTTACCAGAAATTGAAATATATCTTATTTTGATTCCTATTCCAGACAGTTGTAGTAAACAACATCAAATCGTAGGAATTCTGATTTTGATTTCATAAAATTTATGGTAAATAGTATTAAAGGAATAACATTCCCCTTTCGATTGATTTTCATTCCAATTTCAACAAGTAAAGTAAAATAGGACCTAGTATAATTTAATCCATCTTTAATAGATAAACTAGAGATTTGTGATCGTAGATCAAAAAAAATTGTTTCCTATTTATTTATTTTTAAGTTAGGTAAAATTGTTTCAAGAAAATGCGATATAAGTAGACATATACAACTCATTAAAATTTAAAACGTAGACAATTTCAACTTATTTAACATTATTATTTTATTTATTTTTTAGTGTTTGGAGACAAATAACTTGATCACAATAAATTAACAATAAAATTAAAACATTAAAAATAAAAATTAAAGATTGACACAAACATTAGAAACAAACTTATATATTTAAATTGTTTGAATGATTACTTCTTTAAGAAAAAAAAATCAATTGTATTTATTTGCATAAAATGATTGATTTGAACATATCTTTCTCCTTTTTTTTTAGAATCTATTTATT